CCCTCCTGCCAGGTCACCTCCTGGATCCCCGGCGCGGCGCGGCGCGGCGTGCGGCTGAATTGGATGCCGAGGGAGCTCTGATCTCTCTGATCTGCTCCCTCGCAGGCTGTTTACTGATGCCGCGGGAGCCGGAATATGACGTCATCAGTAAACAGCCTGCGAGAGAGCAGATCAGAGAGATCAGAGCTCCCTCTGCATCCAATTCAGCCGCACGCCTCCCAGCAGCCCCACTGGACCACCAATGAGAGACCCACGCCAGCTCTCCAGGTAGGGAGGCTGGGTGGGAAATTTAAATTTAATTTAGATGGTTAATTACTGTGAGTGTGTCTGTGAGTTTGTGTGTGTGCATATGAGTGTGTGTGAGTATGTGTGTCTGTGAGTGTGTATGTGTGTCTGTCAGTGTGTGTCTGTGTCTGTCAGTGTGTGTGTGTGTGTGTGTCAGTGTGTGTGAGTGAGTGTGTCTGAGTGTCTGTCAGTGTGTGTCTGAGTGTCTGTCAGTGTGTGTCTGAGTGTCAGTGTGTGTGTGTCTGAGTGTCAGTGTGTGAGTGTCTGTCAGTGTGTGTGTGTCTGAGTGTCTGTCAGTGTGTGTGTGTCTGAGTGTCTGTCAGTGTGTGTGTGTGAGTGTCTGTCAGTGTGTGTGTGTGGGAGTAAGTCTGTCAGTGTGTGTGAGTGTCTGTGTGTGTGTGTCTGTCAGTGTGTGTGTGAGTGTCTGTGTGTGTGTGTGTGTGTGAGTGTCTGTCAGTGTGTGTGTGTGAGTGTGTGTGTGTGTGTGTGTGTCTGTCAGTGTGTGTGTGTGTGAGTGTCTGTCAGTGTGTGTGTGTGAGTGTCTGTCAGTGTGTGTGTGTGTGTGTGTGTGTCTGTCAGTGTCTGTGTGTGTGTGTGTAAGTGTGTCAGTGTGTGTGTGTCTGGAGTGTCTGTCAGTGTGTGTGTGTGGAGTGTCTGCCGTGTGTGTGTGTGAGTGTCTGTCAGTGTGTGTGTGTGTGTGAGTGTCTGCTGCGTGTGCGTGAGTGTCTGTCAGTGTGTGTGTGGAGTGTCTGTGTGTGTGTGTGTGTGTGTGTGTGTGGGAGTGTCTGTCAGTGTGTGTGTGTGAGTGTGTGTGTGTGTGTGTGAGTGTCTGTCAGTGTGTGTGTGTGAGTGTCTGTCAGTGTGTGTGTGTGTGTGTGTGTGTGAGTGTCTGTCAGTGTGTCTGTGTGTGTGTGTAAGTGTCTGTCAGTGTGTGTGTGAGTGTCTGTCAGTGAGTGTGTGTCTGTCAGTGTGTGTGTGTGTGTCTCTCAGTGAATGAGTGTGTCAGATAAGTGAGTCTGGCTGTCAGAGATGTCTGTGTTTGTCACTGAGTGTGTGACTGTCAGTGTTTATACACCCCTGACTGTAGCGTGGCCAAGCGGAGTGTACCGTGGTACAGGAACTTCTGTTTCCTGTACCTGGAAGGACTGACAGGAAAAGCTCACTGTACCGGGATTTGCTCCGCTCAGCCATGCTACAAGAAAGGTAGGAGGCACACCAGGAAGGGGAGGGGACCACTATGGGGGTGGGTGGCACACCAAGGGACAGGGAGAGGAGGGGAGAGATACCCTAAGGTACAGGAAAAGGAGGGAGGGGGGAGAGGAACACTAAGCGACAGGGAACAGAGGGGGGAGGGGAGAGGAACACTAAGGGAAAGGAACACTGAGGAACAGGAAAAGGAGGAGAGAGGGGAGAGGAATAGTAAGGGTCAGAGAAGGGAGGGGACCATTAAGGGACAGGGAGAGGGACTGGATGTGAAAGAAACACACACCGGTGTTTTAGAAGGAAAGAGACACAAAGGAGCTGGGAAGAATAAAAGACACAAAGGGGCTGGGAGAAAAGGAGTCACACAAAGGGGCTGGGAGGAGTAAGACACAAAATGTGGGAGGATGTAAGAGTCATACAAAGAGGAGAGATAGGAGACACACAAAGGCAAAAGGAGTCAGATATTTAAAAGACGGGATAAGAAACACAAAAGGGAGGTTAAGAGGCACATGGGTGAAGATGTTTTTTGGGGGGGGGGGCGAAAAATGCATCTTCGCCTATGTACCCAAAATTCTTTGCACCGGCCCTGTCCTTGCCTACCCCCCTTCCCCTCCCCCTGTGGTCCTTGCCTACCCCCCTCCCATCCCCTGTGGTCCCTTCACCTCCCCATCCCTTCCCCTGTGGTCCTTACCTCCCCTCCACCTGTGGTCCTTGCCTACCCCCTCCCCTCCACTCCCTCCCCCTGTAGTCCTTACCTATCCCCCTCCCTCCCCTGTGGTCCTTACCTATCCCCTCCTCTCCCCTGTGGTCTTACTATCCCCCCCCTGGTGGTCCTTGCCCTCCTCTTTCCTCCAGCGTATGTAGCGTGGCGGGCAGTGTGGAACAGCGGGACAGGAACCTCTGTTTCCTGTACCCGGCCGCCGGCGGACTGCAGGGAAGTGCTCACTCAGTGAGCACTTCCCTGCAGTCCGCCGGCGGCCGGGTACAGGAAACAGAGGTTCCTGTCCCGCCTTCCGTGCCGCCAGGCCACGCTACATTGAGAGACCGGCGGGAGGGATCGCTCTGCGCTTCCCTCCTGCCGGTCACTCAAATCCGGCCGCCCTCCATAGCAGTGCTGCGCCGCCTGAGGCTTGTAAAAGCGCTCAGGCGGCGCAGCATGAGGAGCCGCCGGGCGCAGGGATCCGGAGCCCCCTCCTAAGGTGCGCCCTAGGCGGCTGCCTAGGTCGCCTTACAGGTAGCGCCAGCCCTGTGTGTGTGTCAAAAAAGCAGAAAAAACGCTTATTACCACTACACTTGGTGCAAGCTAGTGGAAAGATTATTTCAGGCTAAGGTTCAAAATATGCATTTTGAATTACCCTGGGATGTCTTCTTTAAGAAATAGTATGCTTTCATGGGATAGTTGGAAAAAGCAGCCTGCTAACATATTTCAAAATAGAATACGGACCCATTAATACTCTCCATGTAAATTCACACTTAAAAACCTGAACTTGTCACGTCTCTTTTACAGCACTGTAACTTCACTAAATACTTTGTAGATTATACATTGGGTTTATTGTTTTACTAATAAGAGGTAGCGGAGCGTACTTAGAGGGAATTTATGATAGTGGCACTTATCAAATGTACGAAATACCCAGCGAAAATGCAACATGTATGTAAAAAAAAATGTATTGTTTTTTCTCACCACAGAATTTGAAATAAATTGGTGAAATCTTGGTGGCAAGTTAAGGTATAATAAGATACCCTGGAATGTCTGACTTCTCAAATGGAAGGCCTGTGTGGGGTTATTTAAACAGTAAAACTGCTATTGTTTTAGACCAAACCAAGTGTTAGCTTGAGTATCTGCCACTGTTCAGATTGCTTAAAATAGAATGCATGCATGCTGTAGTAAATCACACTGAGACACAGGTTTCAGGTTAATGAAAGACTTCGGAATGTTTAATAAGGGGGGCGGGGAGCCCCTTATAAAGGCAGAAATACATCATATGCAAAACATGAGATAACAGACAGAATACATCTTTAATTGGTCATGTGTTAAGTGTCTTATCTAATGCACGTCCTCCAAAGTGTTATGTCACCATCATTCTGGGTGCAGCTGTCACTGGGAGACGCCATCTTAGTACATGACATTCTTTACATTCTTTGCTCGATGGGAGGGGGTTCTCAGCGGCCATTTTGAGCAACTACTGATTACAGGCATATACAGTAAATAGACATTTTACTAACAATAATTTCTATCCATAGCACTATAATGCCACAAAATCAGACATATGACCATCTATGAAAATTCCAACTATAGAAACTGAAATATGGCATTGTGGCTTCATAGAATAGGGGCAAAGACATACAATGGGGGTATCGTTGTACTCAGCAGATGTAGCTGAACACAATATGGGGTTCTGTACAGGAATAGCACACACTAGGTTTCTGAAATACACATTACAAAAACCTTGTTATATGTGTATATGCCAAAATAGAGAAAAAAGACAATTTTACTCCAATATTTAGCAGACATTGGCGGTGAAATAGCTACATAAAAAGTGTCAAAACAACCTTAGGTAAATAGCCTGTGATGTCTACTTTATATAAATATATACTTTTGTGTGGCAATTTTGTTTTCTGTGATGGGTAGTAAGCTTCCAAGACAAACATGCCAACTTCTAAAATTGTTTCAAATTAAATTTTATTTTATCCCTTGTATTTTGTGACCTGTAACTTTCAAAATAAACTGAAATCCTATACATATTATGTACTTTGTAAATCAAGACACATGCATTCATTGATTTTGAATTACTTTTCCTACGCTAGACATATAATGCACACATTATTATTGCCAAAACTTGGGGAAAAAAAGCATTTTATGTATATGTCACATCAAATTAAAGCCTTTTTTGATGTCTAAAAAAACGGTATATAATAGGTGTTGGTACAATAAATGAGAGAAATGCAAATTGCAGTTGAACACAAACAGCAAAAAAATGCAAAAATTGCTATTGTCCTTAAGGGTATGCCCAGCTTCTGAAGCTGTGTCCTTAAAGGGCCACTATAGGCACCCAGACCACTTCAGCTTAATGAAGTGGTCTGGGTGCCAGGTCCATCTAGGATTAACCCTTTCTGCTGTAAACATAGCAGTTTCAGAGAAACTGCTATGTTTACTTTAGGGTTAATCCAGACTCTAGTGGCCGTCTCATTGACAGCCGCTAGAGGCGCTTCCGCAATCCTCAATGTGATTTTTATACAGTGAGAATGCCATTGAGAATGCTTTCCTATGGACTGGCTGAATGCGCGCGAGGCTCCTGCCGCGCATGCGCCTTCAGCCGATGACGACGAGAGGGAGGAGGAGAGTCCCTCGCCCAGCGCTGGAAAAATAGGTAAATTTAACCCCTTCCACCACCTAGAGCCCGGCGGGAGGGGGACCCTGAGGGTGGGGGCACCCTCAGTGCACTATAGTGCCAGGAAAACGAGTATATTTTCCGGGCACTATGTGGTCCTTTAAGGGGTTAATATTTTATAGATTTTATTTATTACTAAAGCTGAGATAATTTTCCCAAACATATGGTGTCTGCGTATCCTTGGGTTTTGGGGGGTTGTTTATATCACTTATGCCAAAAAGGCGACTATGCATATGTCATGTACACAACACAGAAAGGTGACTAAAAAAAAATGTATACATATTTTTCTAAATTTGTGTGTTTGAGTATGTCTGGGAGTGTGGATCTGTGGATCTTTCTGCAATGTGTCTGTGAGAGAGTGTGGCTACCATTGTGTTTTGTGGGACTTCATATCTGTGTGTGTTTCTCATTATGAATTTGTTTGTGTTTTTCAGTGTGTATCTGTATGAATCTGTGTGTGTATGTCAGTGTGTATCTCTGTGTGTGTTTGTCATTATGAATCTATGTGTGTGCCTGGGAATCTGTATCTGTTTGTGTGTTTATGAACATGTATGAGTGATTATCTCTGTGTGTATGTGTGGGTTTGAATGTGTAACTGTGTCTGTCTGTGTGTACGTGTGTGCCTGTATATATATCTGGGAGAAAGCACCTGGCGTGGGGATCTGACCAATAGGTTTATAAGGGGACACTTTGTCATTGATTGTATTTTTTATATCTTACAGTTTCCTCAAGTATAAGGAATAATTGACTGATTTGAAATTGCCATCTGGATATCACTAACTTCCAGAGAGTGGTTATGGTGTTAAAGGACAGGAGAGATGTTAGTAAATACAGACATTACCTTTCCTTCCATTTCTCCATGTGATAGAAGCTAATACTGTTAACAGGAAGTAAATACAGACCAAGGGCAGCTTAATAATAAGATAATAATAGAGATCTGAAAGGAATAAAACAAACACCAATCAACATCTGTTATAATAATTCTTAGCATTCTTTCAATAAATTTGTATCAACTCATATTGATTTTCAACAATTTCTCAATTATATAATTCTACTTACACTGGAGATGTTCCGACATTCTGACCTACAAACTAACTAAATTCAGTGACCTCTAAGGAACATACCAAATAATAACATTGATTTTCAGAGAATGTTTTTATAAGACATAAAGTCATGTTTTGTTTCCTGCAGTTCTATCAGGCTCTCTGTAATAATTAAAGGATTCTGTGACTTGTTTATCAATAAAAACCAAACACAATATTTCTCACCTTTCCCAACTGGTTCTTGTTTATTTTGTAAATCAGGACAGATATCCTGAGTATAAACAGACACATTTTTCTTGTCCGCAGGGTTTTGTACCAAACACAGGAATTGCGAGTTACGTGACTGCGTCTGCAGAGAGATCCGGACTGTGCGCCCATTATTATACACTGTGTGATTAAAGGGACAGTACTCAGTGTCTGTGTGTCTGCACTGCCAGCTGACGGACAGTGTGGAGGTGATTGCAGGAACGGAGCAATGGAGAGTAAAATTACACCAGTCGGTGGAGTTTATCAATTGTTCAGTCTTTATCTCCGGGGCAGGAACTGGTTCTGGAATGGGAAACAAACAATATGGAGACTGAAGGCAAACTGTATGGGCCAATACAAACCATTTTGTCGAAATCTATTCACAAACCAGACTTTACATAGGACACGAGGTCATGCGTTTAGACTGGAAGAAGCAAGATTTCGTCTAAGGCAAAGAATTTTTTTTTTTACTGTAAGAACAATAAGGCTGTGGAATTCTCTGCCTGAAGATGTGATTTTATCAGACTCTCAGAGTCCATACAGATGTTCAAACAGCTACTAGATGCATACTTGCAAAAACAGAATATTCAAGGATATAATCTTTCAATGTAGGGTAATAACTGCTTGATCGAAGGATAAATCTGACTGCCATTCTGGGGTCAAGAAGTAATTTTTTTCTTCAAACTGTTTTTTTTGCCTTCTTTTGGATCAACAGCAAGAAACAAATGTGAGGTAGGCCGAACTTGATGGACACAAGTCTCTTCAGCTATGTAACTATGTATTCACCTTGTGTCTTTCTCAAGCATTAATGATTAGTTTCAGAGGTATGAGACTCTATAGTTCTTTTACCTGTAGCCTCATTATCCATTTATCATCCTCTGCCTGATCCAATCACACGCCCCCAGCCCCATAATATTTCATCATCTCATGCTCGATAGTCCTAGTTACATCACCCCCCACTCCCTAAGTCTTCTATCACATTACCCATCTCCTTAATAACCTCCAGCGCAATAACCTAACCACATCACCCCATCTCTGTAAAACCCAGTCATATTACTCCAGTCGCAATTCCCAGCAGCAAAACTACCTCAACCCCAGTAATACACTCATCTAACCCTATATATTCCCTCAGCACCATAACCACTTACTCATACTCCAATCACATTACCCAGGCTCTATCCTACAATATGCTAATTACTCTCCAATCACATTACCCATGCTCTATCCTACAATATGCTAATTACTCTCCGTCACATTACCCAGGCTCTATCCTACAATATGCAAATTACTCTCCGTCACATCAACCAGGTTCTATCCTACAATATGCTAATTACTCTCCATCACATTACCCAGGTTTTATCCTACAATATGCTAATTACTCTCAGTCGCATTACCCAGGCTCTATCCTACAATATGCAAATTACTCTCCGTCACATTACCCATGTTCTATCCTACAATATGCTAATTACTCTCCAATCACATTACCCATGTTCTATCCTACAATATGCTAATTACTCTCCGTCACATTTCCCAGGTTCTATCCTACAATATGCTAATTACTCTCCATCACATTACCCCGATCCTATCATGCAATATGCAAATTACTCTCCGTCACATTACCCAGGTTTTATCCTACAATACGCTAATTACTCTCAATCGCATTACCCAGGCTCTATCCTACAATATGCTAATTACTCTCAGTGACATTACCCAGGTTCTATCCTACAATATGCTAATTATTCTCAGTCACATTACCCAGGTTCTATCCTACAATATGCTAATTACTCTCAGTCACATTACCCAGGCTCTATCCTACAATACGCTAATTACTCTCCGTCACATCACCCAGGCTCTATCCTACAATATGCTAATTACTCTCCGTCACATTACCCAGGCTCTATCCTACAATATGCTAATTACTGTCCAATCACATTACCCAGGCTCTATCCTACAATATGCTAATTACTCTCC